CTAACATACTCTAAGAACCACTCATGACCTACCCTTAACCAGAGCAAAGAGGTCTATGATTTTAGTGTAGACACTTAGGCAACCCAGATAATGACCTATAGTAAATCAGACCAGAACTTTCTGCTGGATGTAGGCAATGGTGTAAATGCTCAAGCAGACCACTGGACTAAATGCCATCTCTTTCTGATCCGACCCCTCTAAAGGTTATGCCCACCAGCCCTGGCTTCCCACCACAGAATACAGGCCCTGTGATCTTCTTGGCCCAAGCTTGAGTTTGTCAGGGGAACTCAGGAAATCTCTGTCTAGCTGTCACTTTCTCCAAGCCTATCTCCAAAGGCTGTCTCTCAACCAGTCTCTATGAAGTAGAGTAACACATACATTGTGGAGTGAAACTCCCCTCCTGGATGTTGGTCTCATCCTCAATCAGGCCAATCTTGTGGTTGTCACCTCTAGCACTCTGTGCTGAGGAGAACCAAAGTGCAGAGCAAGCTAGGATTTGGTAGTTTAGCCACTCTTCACCTCTCCCACACAGGGCATGCCAGGTGGGCAGTGTCTGTAGCGGGGGCAAGGCAGGGGTGAGGTGGGGGCAAAGCAGGGTCTTTCTTCTCTCCCACAGGGCACAAGAAGTAGTTCATGGTGGGGTGGGGGTGTGGCCTTTCTGTCATAATTCTTGAACAGTTTCCTTTTCATAAACTTCCATTCCAATACCAGGTTCTATTGACTTCATAAATTCTTTCTTTTTTCCTTCCTTTCTTCCTTTCTCTCTTCTTTTCTGACTTTCTCCATTTCCTCTTTCTCTTCTCCACCCTCCTTTCCTGTCCTTTCTCTGGATTGAACAGAGGGCCTTTGCTCTGAGCTCCAAGCCCATTTTTAATTTTGTGACCAGGTCTTTCTACATTGTTTTGGCTGGGCTAAATCTTGCGGTCCTTTTGCTTCAGACTCCTATACTGCTGGAATTAGAGGACCGTGCCATCATGCCCAGCTTGTACTTTAAAATTGGATGTGTTATGTACCAACTTTCCCACGATGAATGTAATCATTAAAATTTTTAAATTTTAAAAAATAAAATAAAATTGGCAGTGTTTTCTCTTCCCCTTCTCTTTCACCCTTATTTAATGCAAAAATCATCTTTACTCTAGATTACCACAATAGACTCCAAAGATGTTTCTCTGCATTTCATTCACTATATTATTTTTTATGGAGGTTTCAACATGTGACTTTTCTGCTTAAAATATTCCTGTAGCTTCCCATTAAGATTAGTATATAGACTAATGTCTCAACAGTGTCTAAAATATGCTTCCACTTTTGACAGTTATTTTATGACTTGCCCTTGAGTATATCTTGCATTGCTGACCTTTTTGCTCCCTATGCTTCAGAGTAGGCCTTTGATTAGTTCTTCAAACACATTATAGTTCCACATAAAAGAGCACAAATGCCTTCTTTCCTCCTATCCTCAGTATAGCTAATTTATTCTTATACTTTGAACCCCATTTTATATATCAGTTAATTGATGTGGCAGACTATATCTTACTCCCCATCATGTGCTCTCATACTACATTGTAATACATATATAATTTGTAAATATTCAAATTTATTTTGGGATGTAATGCTAAATTTGTGCTATGGAATGTGTGATCCAGGATATCAAAAATAGTATTTTTTTCTAATTGTTGTATTCCCAAAACATTATAAATTACAAGTATCAATAGAATGAGTGAATTAGTGCATACATGGCTTTATCTAGAATATCTTGAAAAATTATGAAATCACTTATAAGAACTGTAACAGAGTTTGAGCCTGTACACCCCCAAAGACTTCAATATCAAGTGGTCTTCATTTTGAAATTAAAGCCCGAGCCTTGTATAATTCTTTCACACAAAATTTATGAGATTGGTGAAAACACATATCCAATTAAAAATTTCCCCTACTGCTGCCTAGATGTGACCTGTAATTTTGCCTAAAGTACAATTTTAGAACTTTTCTATTGATTTTGAAAGCTCTTCACTCATCTTTGTCTTTGCTGCTTTCTAGACTCACTCATTCAACAGCAATTGCAGTAAGGGTCTGTGCAAGTTTGTCCAAGGTTTGATATCAAGGGACTCTATCCCTGTCTTCATTCTCAAATATGTGTGCAGTAAGAGAACCAAAAGGTGGTAGTTTGTATGAAAGAAAAAATTGTCACATGATGTATAATGCTAAAAGACAGAGTAAAATCAATGATAAAATTTTCCTAAGATTTATCACCCCAGCTGTGTCAGGGCCAACCAATGCTGAAAGATTAAATTAGATAATAAAATAGCAAGCTCATTCTAGATTCATGGATGTCATTACTGACATAAACAGTGTAAGCAAGAGTAGGCAATGGTACCAGATATTTCCATGTCCATTGTGCAGAGTAAGATCAAAGCAAAAGGAATCAGAAGGCTGCATCATGGATGATAAAACACCCTGTTGTTGAGAAGCCAGTTCAGTCTGCCAGTTTTATAGTTTGTAATTCTACCATAAAGAAAATGAGGTAGCAAGTCTTACACCTCCTCAGAATCCAAGAGGCAATGAGAAACTGTCTTCCTATCTCAGGTGAGACAGGAAGGAAAAGTGAGAAATGTTTTGGCAGTAGTTCATCATGAGCCTCCATGCGCTCATGTTGTGAGAAGAACATGGGCCTTTCTGCCATGATTTGTATCAAGTGCAATTAAACCATGCATATGTGGCCCTATGTGGAATCAAGCAAGGTAGCCAAGGTGCCATGGCATAGTCATTTTCCTACAAATTGGTAAATGGAATCCTCTCTAAATCCATAGACTTTTTGCCATTGTACTATGTTTTATGCTAGAAAGTTAAAAATTAAGAGAAATGGATATGTGTTGTTTATTTCTTCTTTTAATGGAAGATTTTTCTCAGATAACAAGAATATTAGTATTTATCTAGTGTTATTTGGATTAGACCTTCAAATTTTATTTCAATAATGGATTTAAGTAATTTTTGAATTTCATAGTTTCTATTTTTTCCATCATGTGACCCAAAATCAAGTGATTATTAATGTAGGGGGGAACAGATGTAACTCCCAAACCTGCTAGATATCCAAAACTCGAGTTCATGTTCTTTAAAATCAAAGAATGAATTCTAGGAACAACGGAGGTTAAGAATAGAAAAAATTTATTGAAAGAAAGCTTCTGTCTAAGAGAGACAGAAAGGGGACCAGAAAGGGGGTTGCAGGGGACCCTATTTCCCAGGGGTTTTTATGGAACAAAGCCACGAGACGAGGTGGGGTCAAGGTGGGACAAAACTATAAGACCAAGACCCAGTGGAAAATTACAAGGTGAGCATGATGTTGGGCAAAACCATTACCAACCAATAAGATTACAAGTACAATCACCCAGGTAATGGGATCAAATGAGAAAACAAGTCACATACAAGGAATTTCCCATTTAGAATATCAGTAACCTCTTTTCCTTTTTTATAATGCTAACCAGTGACTGTGCCTTAATTTTCCTTACTGTGTTGGCTCCTTGAGGGCTGGTGCCATGAGGCAGCCCTGTCTAACTGCCTACAAGATAATCTAATTAAGTTACCTACCTACAATAATGTGACTCAGAATTTGCCTAAATATTAGCAAAACATGTATTATGAATTTCATACAAAAAATACATATACAAATTCCTGTGACTCACTACAAGAAAATCCAGTATTTTAAAAAATATCTATATATCTAAGAGTTTGATTTAGAGTTTACAGACTGGATTAAGATTTAAACAGTATTTTTTCTTTTTCAGTAATTTTTTTTTTTTTTTGGTAGCGGGGGTCAAACTTGGGTCCTTGAGCTTGTACAGCAGGCGGCAAAACCACTGAGCTAAATCACCAGCCCATTAATTTTTTTATTAGTACATGTTTGCAGTATATACAGTTTACATTTATCTTGTGGGTAGGCATATGTACTTAACATATTTTAATTCTTTTCATTCCCATTCCCCTCCCCCGTCTTGCCCATTCCTTGATCCCTTCATCTCCTTCCCATTTAGAAAATATCTACCTCATTTCCTTTTATCTTTTATTTTATTTTATTTGTTCATTTATTTTCTTTTTGGTACCAGGGGTCAAACTCGGGTCCTTGTGCCTGCGGAGCAGGGGGCAGAACCACTGAGCTAAATCCCTGGGCCCCTTATCTTTTATTTTTAAAATTATTAATTCTTTGTGTTTCTCATGTAAGAGAAGTTATAAGATTTAGCATGACGGTCTTGGGATGCATTGGCTGGGCTTGAAGGTGGTAAGCTCTGGCTTCAGACTCTAACAATGCTGGGTATACAGATGGGCACCACCAAACTGGTTGCAATTTCTTTAAACTATATGGGGATGCCATTAATTGACTTACCTCCTTAGAATATAATGTGGAATTACACATTGGATACAATTGTACATATGTGAAAAATTCTTGAATGTATTCAATTTTAACATATATTTTGGTTATGTGAAGATTGCAACTCGACAGAAGGGCAATAAAAGTATTAGGAAAAGCTCAAACCAGGTCATTTCACATGTAATGTTTACAAAGTTACCAGTATGCATAGTATTTTAAAGGTTTTAAATATGCTATTTTTCTCCATGAATCATTTCACTTCTTTTTGTTTGACAGTTAAAATGTGGCAAAAAAGTGAAAGGATGTTGGGCATATGCCTGTAATTCCAGCAGCTTGAGAGGCTGAGGTAGGAGTGCAAGCTTAAATCCTACATTGGAAATTTAGTCAGAGCCTGTCTCAAAAAATAAAAAAGCACGAAAGATGTAGCTCAGAGAAGGTGCTGTATTCAATGCTTATTACCAAAAAAAAAGAAAAAAAAGAAGAAGAATGTTATCATGGTTTTGTGAACAGTTTTCTTTTTTCGTAGAAGTAAGTACATTTCAGGATGGATGTACCAAGGACATTGCCTACAAACGCTATTGTGAATAAATGATTGTGAGTAGTCTTTTTCAGTAAAATGTTTCCACTTTTGTCTTTTATTAAATAGAAATGAAACCACTATCACTGTAAAATTCACCACTCGCTTCCTTCGTCCTGCTGAAGCTTCATTACTGTTAATTTCAAAGCCTAGGCATGGAGTGGGAGGCATCACCATGACTTTTGCTCTGAAGGGTGAAGTCCTCAATATTAAAGCAATTGTGAGTAAATTTTACTTATTGTGCCTTTGCTTCTGTTCTCAAAACTTGGAATGGCACACATAGCTGTTCACCCACATTTAATCTCTAAGCAGCTCTTGATCCTTGAGGTCATCCTTTTGCCATGGAGACTTGTGATTTACGTTAAAGTGGTCTTGGGGTTGTGTATGTGTTTTTGTTTGGGCTAAAGGTTGACAGTTTGTTCAGCAAAGAAGAATTTTCTCTTTTCTGACAGGAATGTTCAGCAATTTACCTAGAATATCATGTGAAGCAAATCCACTGTAAAACTAATGCTAGTGCTGTCCTTTACTGAAAGTTGATGTTTCAGACAGAATCCTAAGCATATCTCAAAGAATGGAAAAGGATTTTTAAATCTTTATAAAATGATTGACATTATGACTGACTTTTTGTGACCATTAACTTGTGTAAATATTATTGCCATTATGGCTGTATGGGTAAAGAACAAGTGAAATTGTTATTGCCAGATTTCTGTAAAGATTATAACAAATTTTGCATCAGTGAGACAAGAATAGAAAGTACAGAGAATGACTCTGCAATGCTCGAGTGGTGGCTACATGTGTGAGGAAAGCAGCAAGATATTCACAAGTACAAACTGGATTATTATACACTATTGTCCAGAGCAGAAGTGGGTATTTGTCACTGAGATATATGTTGTATTCTGATTTAATCCTGAATAATGAGCATATAACACTTCCCAACTCTTTCACATAAATTCTCTGAAGCAATAGAGTTCTTTACCACATGTAGTTGAAAGACATGGCTAGATTTAACCTGTCATTAACATGACTTCTTGACAGAAAAACTGACACTAAATGTCCTGCAACTCTTATTTACTTCCCCACCTGTCCACTTATGCTCTCAGGTCACCAGGAAATAAATTAGAAAATAATGGACAAATAAAATGAAGCAAGAATACGATCAGTTTAAAATGTAGAATTTCTAGAAACATTTCCTCCATGAAAACCCTCTGGATGAGTGGAAGTTTTTATTTTATTTTATATCTATTATGCCCTTATTATATTACAAATATGTCAGCATGGCAAGTGCATTACAGAGGCATACATGCCATGCTCAGGCACAATTTTACACAAAAATATTCATGCGTGTACACATACATGGAAACACCTGCCCTTGCCTTACATCAGACATATTAAGTATCATATATATAACTAATTATTTGTGAATATAAATTATATCATCATTAATAAAATTTAGGATACCAGTTTGAGAGACACTGCTTGACAAGTAATTATTAGCAAAGTGCTATAGATCAATAATGAGATAAAATATATTTTTATCCTTTCCTGTCATGATTTTCGCAGTTCAATGTTTGTGGGGAAAAGATAATTACATAAATTATTGTCAGTGTAATATTTAAATGAATAATTTATAGAGTTTTAATTTTGTATTTTATAGTTATGGATATTTGGTTTTTTGTTATCACCACATAGTATGATTTATTTTTTACTTCAGGACATTATTAAATGTGAAACTCCATGTTATCAATGGAAGCAAGTCATTGTACCTTTGAAAAACCCCTTCTCAACTGGTGGAAACTTTAAGTAAGTTATTGGGTTTTTTAAATTTTTAATTTTATTTGGTACAGTTTAGACATATATAATGATCACATTCATCATAGGAAATTTGGAAAACAACCCAAATGCCTAACAGCTGATAAATGGATAAAAAATGTGTTTTTTTATACAGTGGCATATTATTCAGCCATAAAGAAGGATAAACTTGAGACATTTATTGCTAAACAGATGCACCTGAAGCTATACTCTTAAGTGAAACAAATTGATCACACATGTAAATATATTGCTTTGTCTCTCTGGTGTAAGAAACTGAAAGTGTAAATAGGAACCAAAATGTATAATAGACAATGTGAAATAAGAAAAAGCTATTGTTTTGATTTAAATGTGTTATAATTAGATATTCCCACTCTAAAGAGAAATATATATATTTCTTCAACTGTTCAACAGGAAACATTTTGAAAAGAAACTACATGTGTTTACATTCCTGGAAATGTATAAGCATCATCAGATAAAATAGGACACATGATAATAGTAAATCAGTTTTTAAAAATTTATAGTTGAGCATGACAAATTTATGAGCTTTATATATGAGCTTTCTTTTCCTTGAGATTCAAGGTTCTTGCGATTTTTAAAATTTATAATTAATTGACACCTTACTTCTCATTTTATTCTGTCTGTTAATATCCAAAACTGAAAGTTTATCTGAATACAAGTGGCTTTGTATATAGAGCATCATGATTAGTTAATACTGGTACATTCAATATGCATGTATCCATTTTAAGATTTAAGAACAATAACAATACAAACTTGTATTGAAAAGAAAACATTTATATTATTTAAAGACAATAAAAAGTTACTTCTTAAAAATTTTCATGTTGAAAGAGAAAATGGAAGATGAATCTTTGTGCAATGATTAAATTAGGAACACTTTTTCCTCTAGTTATAGAAATCATAACTTCACAATAATTTTATTTAATCTTAAAGTTACATATATGTATAAATGCTTATTTGATATTTGATAACTTTCAATTATTTTAATCACTATATGTAAAGGCTCATGTTAATTATGTAATTTGCTGTCATGGAGGTTTTCATAATAGTCCCTTATATGTTTCTTTTAAATTTTTGGAATGTAAACAGTAATGACCCTTCTTTCATCCTTCACTTTAATAATTTAATCATTCTATCTTCTATTCTTAATCAACTTGGTAAAAATTTATTATCTTACTGATCTTTTCAAATAACACCTATTCCCTTGCTGTTGCCTATTGTTTTTTAAATTTTGTGTCTACAGTAACATTCTTTTTTGTCATAACTTATTTCCTTCTTCTTGTTTTGTGTTTAGCCTTCTTTTCTTTTCTTTAAAAAACATAAAAATTATATTTATCTTGGGGTATTGGGACATATACAAAGCACATTTTGATTGTTTTTACTTATGCTTTCCCTTTCCCCTCACCCTCTTCTCTTCCCCTTTACCCAGAATGCCTTCCCATTTCCACAAATTCTGCTTTCTTATTTCCTACCATCTCTCTTTTATTTGGGTCTTTTAATTATTCATATTTTGAGTTTTAAACAAAAGAGAAATTGCATGATGTTTATTTCTCTCTGTCTAGTTTATTTTACTTAGGTTTAGGATATCAAGAACTATCTATTTTCCTACGAATGACCCAAATTTATCTTCCTATGTGCCTGAAGTAGTACTTGATTGTATATATCACATTTTCCTTATCCATTTATCTGTTGATGGACATATAGCCTGCTTGTATAATTTAGCTCTTGTGAATCATGGTGCTATAAAATGAATGTGCATGTATCACTGAAGTATGATGTCTTTAAATCTTTTGAGAAGATACCCAGAGGAAGAATATCGGGGTCAAATGGAATTTCTAATTTTAGTTTCCTAAAGCATCTGATTTCTGCAGTGATTTTACTAGTTTACATTCCTATCAACAATGTAGAAGTTTTTCTTTTTCCTTATAACCTCCCCAGAATTTGTAGTTTTCAGAGTTCTTGAAGACGTCTATTCTTACTGGGGTTAGAAGGAACCTTGTTGTTGTGTTTTGCATTTCTCTAATAGTCAAAGCTGCTGAGCATTTTTCATGTAGTTATTACCATTTTTACTTCTTCTTTTCAGAAGTGTCTATTCATTTCAATTGCTCATTTTTTCCATTGGGTTTTTTTATTTTGGGGGATCTTTTGAGTTCTTTATATGTTATAGATATTAGTCCTCTCTTCCACGATAAGCTGGCAGAAATTTTTTACCGTTCTTTAGGTTACCTCTTCATTTTATTGTTTGTTTCCTTTGGTGTGGAGAAGCTTTTAATTTGATATAATCCCATTTGTTGATTCTTGGTATTACTTACTGTGCACTTGAGGTTCTGTTCAGAAAGTCTTGTTAATGTTTATGTCTTCAAGAATTTTACCTATTTTATTTTCCAGAAGATTAAATATTTGTGATTTTATATCTAGGTTTTTGATCCATTTTGATTTTATTACAAGGTAAGACATACGAACCTAGATTCATTTTTCACATGGATGACTAGATTTCTCAGCACCATTTGTTAAAGAGGCTGTCTTTTCTCCAGCATAATGTTTTTGGCTCCTTTGTCAAAAATAAGATGACTGAAGATGCATGGAGTTGTTTTCTCCAGTTCCATTCCATTGTTTAAGATGTCTGTTTGTGTGTTACTACTATGTTGTTATTATTACTGTAGCTTTGTAGTATAACTTGAAATCCAGGATAGTAATGCCTCCTGCTTCGCTCTTTTTGTTCAAGATTCCTTTGACTATTCTGTGTATCTTCTGGTTACATATAAATTTGAGAATTTTTTTCTAATTCTGTAAAAAATGCAGTTAGTATTTTGCTTGGAGTTGCATTAAATCTGTATATCATTGTTTTTAATATCACCATTTTGATAATACTAATCTACCTATCCAGGAACAAGGGACATGCTTCCATTTTCTAGCATCCTCTTCAATCTCTTTTTTATAGAGCACTATAATTTTTACTAGAGGTCTTTAACTTCCTTAGTTACTTTAATTTCTAGACAATTAAATTTTTCAAGGCAACCACAAATGGAGTTGTTTTCCTGACTTCTTTTTCGGTAGCTTCATTGATCCCCCAGCACCACCATACTGGGAATTGAACTCAGGACCTTGTGCTTGCTAGCCAAGCATGGCACCACTGAGATAAATCCCAGGTTCATTGATTTTGTACAGGAATGTTATTGATTTTTATGTACTTATTTTGTATCCTGCCACTGTGCTGATTTTGTTTATTAGTTCTACATCTTCCTGGTGGAATTTTTGGGCTCATGTAATGAACAGGTCATGTGTGAATAAGGATAGTTTTACTTCTTGTTTACCTATTCATATCCCTTTTCTTTCTCTTTCTTGATTGCTTTGGCTAAAGTTTCGAGTACTATATTGAACAAGAGTGTTGATAGTGTATATCCTTCTCTTGTTCCACATTTTATAAGGAGTGGCTTTGTTTTTCTACATTTAGTATGAGGTTGGCAGTGTGATTGACATAAATAACTTATCAGTTTGAGGTATGATAGCTCAGTACTCATTTTCCTCAAGGATTTTATTATAAATGGATGTTAGAACAAATCAGAGAGTTGTTCTGCATCTGTTAAAATCATCGTGTGAATTTTATACTTACTTCTGTTTATGTGGTATATTTCAGTTATTTTTTACCTATATTGAACTACCTTTGAATCCCTGGGATGAAGCTAACTTGTTCATGATATATGATCTTCTCAGTGATTTATTACATTGTCTTTACAAGTATCTTCCTGAGGCCTTTTGCATCTGTGTTCATTAAAGAAATTAGCCTATAGTTTTCTTTATATATTGAGTCCTTGTCTGGTTTTGGTGTCAGAATAATGCTAGTTTCAAGCAATACATTTTGCAGTATTCCCTCTCTTATAATTTCGTAAAGACTTTGAGGAGTATTTGAGATAGTATTTGGGAAGTTCTGGTAAAATTCAGTGGTGAGTCTGTTTCTGGGCTTTTCTGAGTTGATAGGGTTTTTATTACTGCCTGAATTTCATTGACTCTTGTTGGTCTATTAAGACTTTTTATATCTTCTTGGTTGTGTTTTGCTAATTTGTATGTCTCTAAGACTTTATCCATTTCTTGTAGACTATATAAATTATTGACATATTAGTTTAGAAATAGGTTTTTAACCATCCTGTGGATTTAGGTGGTATGCATTGTGATTTCAACTTTTTCATTTCTAATTGAATTTGAGTTCATTTTTTTCTCCTTCTTTTGGTAAGTTTGGCTAAAAGTTTTTCAAAGAACTGGGTCATTGATCCATTGATCCTTTCTATTTTTTTAGTCTCAATTTCATTAATTTCTGGTCTGACTTTTATGTTTTTTTCTTATACAAGTTTTAGATCTAAATTGCCCTTCTTTTTCTAAGACCCTGAGAAAGATTATTGGGTTATTTATTTGAGATTGTGGTGTCCTAGTTTCTTGTTGCTGGGACAAAACACCCAGTACCCACAATTTAAAGGAGGAGAAGTTTATTTTGAATCACATTTTCAGTATGTGGTCAGCTGGCTCCAAGGCATCAACAGTATAGTGGAAAGGCCTGGGTAGAAGATAGCTGCTCATCTTATGGCAGCCTGAAAGCAGAGATTGAAGAGAGGGGCTGAGGAGGTAGATATATTCTTCCTTGTTACATCCACAGTGACCCACCTCTACCCAGCCCCCACCTCCTAATACAGCAACTAACTTGTACTGCTGCTGTGATCCAATCAACTTCTAAGAGTCCAACATTTGAGTATGTGAGCCTTTTGCGGGACATTCTAGCTCTAAACAATAATATCCTGTCAAAGATTCATATTCATCTCTTTATGAAAAATACATTTAGTCCATATCGAAGATGTACCATAATCTTAAGAATTCCACCATTGCTGAAAATCCAAAGTTTCCTCTGAGACTTAAGCCAAACTCCTACCTGTGAGCCCCTGTAAAACTCAGAAAGAAAGTTAAACACTACCAACATACAAGGGAACAGGGTAAACTTCTCCATTCCCAAAGAGAGAAATACTTGAATGGAAAGGAATGAGACCAAAGTAATATTGAAAACAGGCAGGGAAAACGTTAAACTCTGTAGTTCCCCATGCAGCACCTGGGCAATTTGTAATGAAATATGAGCTCCAAAAGGCTTGTGTGGCCCAACTCTATGGTATTGCCCTCATAGCCTCTCTTTTGGGGGTAAATCCATTCACTGCCTGGTGGTTTTCTTAGCAGTTTCTGTCATCTCTAAATTCCTAGGGTCTCAGCTTTGCTTTTAGCTTCATGCACTGCCCTCTCAGGGGTACACTGCCTTGCTTCTGAGGCCTTCTTCTAAAATCTGGGTGGAAGCCTTCCTCATCCCACAACTCTTGCATTCTGCATGCCCATAAAACCAATACTACATGTATGGTAGTAAGGTCTGCTGACAACTTGAGTAGTAACAGGGATTATGCTTAAAGTGGTCACTGAATGCCCAAAAGGTTGAGCACTGTGAAACAAATCCTGGGGGACCAATTTCCTAGGTAGCCCTTTCTGAAAAGGGGGCCCTGGGGCTGCTTCTCAAATTAAAGCTTTACAATTTCGTAAAGCTTTGAGCCTGCAGAGAGTGGATTGTTGCTGATTCCTGGGATGACCATATGCCATCTTTCCTACTTTCCTGATGGGAAGTCATTGGCTGCTTTTTTTTTTTGAGACAGGGCCTTGCTATGTAGTTCAGCCTGACCTTGAACTCACTATGTAGCCCAGGCTGGCCTCAAACTTGTGGAAATCCTCCTGCCTCTGTCTCCCAAATGCTGAGATTACAGGCATGTGCCACCATGCCTGGCCATTGGCTTCTTTTTCATGCTAAACTATTCAATAACCATGCTATCCTTTGTCCCAGTTTTGCAGGCACTTTCTTTGTAAATGAAACTGCAAATTTTACACATCTGATGCTGCTGATTATTCCTAATTTTCACTATAAATCTAGCTAAATGTGGAATGTAGTACCCATGCCACAACCAGAATATTGGGCTGCCTTGAAATTTCCTCTACCACATAGTCTATCATTTTTTTTTTTTTTGGTGGCAGGGATCAAACTCAGGACCTTTTGCTTGTAAGGCAGGCAGTGGCACCACTGAGCTAAATCTCCAGCCCTAGTCTATCATTTTTAATATCATTCTCCCACAAAGTCTAAGAACATGGGTAAAGTATAGACAAATTTTCTGCCAGAGCTAATACATATGACATTTTCTTTTACAAAATTTAGTGTGCCAACACTTGGTGTAAATATGTTGATAATTTTCATCTCTTCTTATTGAATCGTTCATTTTTTCAGGATGTAGTGACCATCTTTGTCTCTTATCAGTTTAGCTTGAAGTCTGCATTGTCTAAAAATAGTATAGCTGGTCCTACTTCTTTTTAAGCTTAAATTGCATGAAGTATGATTTCAATCTTTTCACTTTTAAACTATATGTTATTTTTTGGATGAGGTATATGCCTCTTTCAGGTAACATATGTTGAGTTTTGATTTTGATTTAATCTGCTAGTCATTCTTTTGATTGTAGAGTTAAGACCATTTATATTGAGTATTATTATCAAAAGCTATTTACTGAATCCTGTCATTGCATTATTTTACAGTGCATACAATTTTTTTTTCTGTTTGTTTAACTACTTTTCCAGTTTGATATGTTCTTTTCTTTGGATGGTTTGATGATGTTGGGATTAGTCTCTCCATGTAGGATTCCTTAAAAGTATTTTCTGCAATGGTGATTTGCTCATGCATTTCTTCAGGTTCTCTTTGTTGTAAATAGTCTTGATCCATCTATTTTGAGGGATCATCTGGTAGGAAATAATGATCTCGGTTGTCAGTTGTTTTCTTTTGGGACTTTATATACTTCACTCCAAGTTCTCCTGGTTTTTAAGGTTTGTGTTAAGAAATCTACTGTTATTCTGATACACTTGCCTTCATAAGTTACTAGATATTTTTCCCTAACAGCTTTTAATATTCTCTCTGTGTGCTGAATTTCTGGGATTTTGACTCTGATATGTCTCATAGCTATTTAGGGTGCTAAATTTACCTGGATATTGAATTATTTCTTTAGACTTGGAAAATTTGAAAATTTTCTGCTATGATTTTGGTGAATACATTTTATACCTTATATCCTCTTCTAGTCTTTCCTCAACTCATATAATTCATTGTTTTTCTTTTTTTTATTCAACTAGCACATGTTGGATCCAGCTACCATCGTTTATTTGGTTTTTGTTGTTTGGGATATTACTGAGTACATGATCTACTACATCAAGTTAGTCTTCAAGTCCTTACAGTCTCCTCTCAGATTGGTCGTTCTCAATGCCTGTACTTTTAGTTGAATTTTTCATACCCTGGTTTTCTGCTTGATTCTTTTTTGTAATCTCTAATTTTTTATAAAAGTAGCCATTCATATCTTGTATTCTTGAATTTTATTAATTAGATTCATTGCGTTTATTTATATTTTCTATAAGCTCAGTGAACATCTTAAGGATTTGCTTATTAATTTCTTTTACAGTCTCTTCAAATATTTTAATCATTTGGTTTTGAGTTCTTTGCCTCAAACTTCATCTCCTTCAGTGCTTGTAAGATCAGTATTTGGGGGATTAAGAGTTTTTGGAGGTATCTTGTTGCCTCATTTTCTCATTTTTCAATTTGTGCTGAGCAATGAAGATCAGGAGTAGGAAAACCTCTGTTGCTACTGTGGAGATTTCTTTAGTTAGTGTATGTCTCCCTGTATAATGTGACCTTGGATTTGGTTATGTTTTGGTGATTACGCATCTATTCAGCATACTCAGTATATAATAGGATGAGTCCTGTTCATTGCGTTACAAGTAGAGAGCAAGTAGAGGTTATATCAGCATATATAGAATCAACCTTACATCAGTGATGTAATTTAAAACTTGTTTTAACAATTTCACATTTTTTTCAGTAACGTAGAAAATGGCAAAATAATAATGATAATAAGTAGGCTGGGATGTAGAGGATGAGGGAAGGAGAAAGGAAGAGGAAAAGGAAGAAAACAGTTTAGAAAGAAGGGAAGAAGGAAAAAGATAAAACAGCAAATGAAAGAAAGGTATTTTAGTTGGTGATATTATTTTTATTTCTGGAATAGACAGAGGGGTGAGTGGGGTTAAGAAGTAATTTCCAGTAGTGAGGATAACAGGAAGAGAGGGCTAAGTATAATTAGATATTGGCGTACACTTTAAAAGGTCATAGCCAATTAATATTCTGCTAGAAAGTTGTGTTTGAATCTTCCATACATAATTTTTAGTGATTAACCTGACATGACCATGAAATATAATATCTAAACTAAAGAACTCATTAATTCATATTCCTAATTTTGCATATAAGAACATTATATATATATTTACATTCTGTAGGTTGTTTTTTCACTGTATGTTTTGTTTCTTTTGCAATGCAGAAGCTTTTTAATTTGGTATAATCCTATGTGTTGATTGTTGGTGTTACTTCTTATGCAATTGAATTTCTTTTCAGAAAGTCCTTGCTTATGTCTATGGCTTCAAGAGTTTTACCTTTTTTATCTGGATGTTTTTAAATGAAACTACAGTTAAAACTATTGTGATTCTAATTATATTTGATGAATTATGTAAAAAGTAAAAGAAGGATATTTCGTGGGCATTAAGTTTTGTTGCAGTACAATTGAAAATAATTATTTAAAAATTTTATTTCAGTGTCATTTTGGTGGAATCTACAACATTTATCCACTTGCCATCACAAGTAACTGGATTCAGTCAACATTTGTCTGATGAGTAAATATCTATATGTTTTATACTTATAAGCTTCTGAGGAAAAGTTCTAAGAAATTAGTATTCAGGAAACTTCTCATATATAATTGCTCAGTAGTTTCCATTCATTCACAAATTTTAATTTATATTATTTATGCTTATTTAAATATATGTTTAGGTATTCTCCAGCTTTGTGTGCATGAAAAATACATAAATACATAAAATACATTTACACTCAATTAAATGCAATATATCATCATTATTAGTGGTAAGTATGCAGTATAATAATACCAGAACCATTCAATATGAATACTGAAATGTTGATCCTAAGAGATACCTATAGATAAATAGATAAGTAATCAGAAATCCTAAAAAAAATCCTATCTTGGTGGATGCTACTTTTTTGTATTTTATAAAAAGAAAATGAAAATCAGAAATGTCAAATACTACACTGAGGTCTGCCCAGTAATTGGTTCCAAAAAAGGAATTCAGACTCTCTTCACCTGGTCACAGTTTGATGTCAGCTGTGAACTGGAGCAGTCAGTGCCAAGAATTTGCCGTCATTTGAACACTGTCACTGTATCATGAGTACATATTGGTTTTAGGGGTACAAAAATATTATAGTGATTTTGGAAACAGAATTCATGGACAGTGAGGATCATCTATGCTTAACCTTATTCCATCCACTTTATGAGCTATATACTTAATTTAGAAAGGTACTTTGATTTCTAAAGAAGCATAATTTTAACAATTTATATTCTTTTATATTTATATGATTGCTATTTAAAGTTATCTATAAATAAAAATAATGTTAACGGGTTGGCTGTGGTAGTTCACAGAAGGCTGAGGCAGGAAGGTTAGAGGTTCAAGGCTAGCATGAGTTCCACGCCAGCCTGAACTGCATAGTTAGATCCCATGTAAGAAAAAAAAAAGTAAAGTAAACAAAAACAATGTTTAAAAAAGGTAAAGGCAGAGAGAAAATAATATAGGTCACTCTTACTGAAATGCATGCATATGTTAACTGTAGCTATTATGTTTTTAGTATATTTTATTCTTGTTTTAAAATCTTAGTTATATTTGACAGTATCAATCTCATCTTTTGGATGCAAAAATGTCAAGAGACAAGAATTTGGCAATTTTGATAATATAGGAATTCCCAAGATTAAACTCATCTTAAACCACTAAGTTTAAATAAGCATATTTTATTAAATAAATATATATTCATAAGTATATTTTAAGTAAATCTATTCTATCTCAACACTAATAAGATTTAAATGAGTGTAAGATTTAATTTAAATAAAATAATAAGTCTAGGGCTGGGGATTTAGCTCAGTGGTTTCTCCGCCTGCCTCAAAAGCGCAAGGACCCGAGTTCGATCCCCGGTACCAAAAAAAAAAAAGTCTATTTTCCCCAGAGCAAATTATATTTAAGTCAATAACTATGGAAGATTACAAGAGTTGAGTTATACAAATGATACATAATATGTATTTTTTATATATATATATTTGATTAATTCAGTAGTTTTTCTGTGAGAAAAGTGGTTTAAAAGAAACCGTTTTTTTCTCATAGCTTTTGTCTTATTGAATACTAATTTCACACTTAACTAGGACATTCAAAGTTTTGCATGTATATTTTTTACTTTGGCAGACAATAAAACATGAAATTAATGCGTTGAGCTCTAAGGCAGCATTATTTAGCACTTTAGATTCTTGCTTCTTCTTTATGCCATGGGCAGAGACAGGTGGAGAGTCCTGGCAGTCCCGAGCCTGACTGTCCCAAGGATGCAGAAGGGGGGCTCAAGATGCTGGTTTTATAGTAGTTGGGGCCTATGTTGCCTCTAGGCTGAGGGTGCCCCTACTTGATTAGTTAATGATTAACTTAGCTGATTACTAGGGACAAAAGGGAAGGGTCTTTTTAAGGGCCTTTTACAACTTAGGGCCAAGGTTCTTTTTCCTTTTGATCTTAGCAAACCAAGCTTTGGAGGATATAGCATGAAAAGGAGATGCAACCGCAGAGTGTCAGGTTTCACTGGGTGGTTAAGCATGTTCTGCCAGCTATCTGAACTCCTTCAGTAGCAGGTGGGGTGGGGGGATGGGGGTGTCCCTCATCTCTCCCTGCCTATGGGTCTCTATCCCTACACATAGATTTTGTGTAAATGTCCTGGAAACAATTTCTTTATATTAATTGTAAAGAACTTATAGTATATATTAAACTAGAGTCAGATCTCAAATCAATATAGGTATATATGGCCATACATAGATCAAATTAGTTTAATAAATAGAGAAATTGAATCTCTTTTATCTACAATATGAGAATTTTGTATCTCAAATGTTAGCAAGTTTTCCTTTATATAATATTCTGTAATGAATTTGATTGAATCCAAAGTTCTAGAATTATTGAAGCATCATTTAGTATAGAAAGACATTTTAACTAGATAACCAAATCCAACTAGAAGGAAGACTGAAATATTTATCATTCATGTATGCAAAATTAGAATTTAATTTTTCAAGAATAGAATTCCTGAAAGTACTCATCTAAAGTAATTACCAACACAACGAAAGTACAGCTTAATAAACGTATCTGCCATATTTGCAAACACTGTTAATCATTCTTTTTCACATAGTCTCTTCCCTTTTATTTATTTATTTATTTCTTCTCTCAAACCTTTCTGTGGGAAATAGAAACAACAAAAACCCAACGAGGACAAAGAAAAACTTTTTGAGTCAGGGAAAACATGAGCCAATACAGAATAAGTAGCCAGGCTCCTGCAGATTAGCTCAAAGAATAATTCAGAGCTTTTCCTTTAAAAGATTGAGGATTTTCTCCCATATTCTTCTCTAAGGTTATCTCTTAATTCAAAAGCAAGAGCAGTCTATATAAAAGCACAAACCACAAATATTCTCAGTGAAAAGGATTGGTCAGTTTATATACATTCTTGATTTGTCTTTCGGGGCCTGCCATGGACTGATTGCTCAGCCTCAAATCCATATGTTGAGATAAAATAGTCTTAAATATACCAAAAAGACTATTTTCCTGAGAGATTTGCCAAGATTTATTAGAAGTAGTTAACTGTCATGCCAATGAGATTTATTAGAAGCAGTTGACTATGGCTTCTTCATCTGGGATCCTGACTATTTGCTGCATGATATTGCCGTGCTGCAGACCACCTAGTAGGCAAGTCTCTGTACATTTCCTCAAGGGTCAACTAAAATATGCAGAACTCCAAACATTAAATTCACTTTCTGGGCATTAAAAAAGAAGAAAGGCAAGGATAAGACTGTGTCCTGTCTCTATAGGGAAGTTTCCCCAAAATACCACAGAGCATCCCTACTTGTAGCTCATTAGCCAAATCTTAATTAAATGACGAAATCTAGCTGAAAGACAGAAAGTTCCTTTCTCTACATATACATCTAAATAAATGTAAGATTTTGTAGTGATGAAGGAAGAGCCAATAGTTACTGGGGAGGGCAACTAAGTCTCTACCACAAGGAAACACAAAGAGATTTTTATGACCACATAGCATAAAGTAATTTATTATTTCATCAATCTGGATTCATCAGCATAATGAGACCTTTTCACATTGAATTATGCCTTAATAAAATAATTCTTAATGATGTCACAAATCACATTTTCTTAAAGCTCTCCTTAATGTTTTTCTTGAACAGATTTCTATGCATAAATAAAACTTAAGAAAACACATTTTGGAGCTGGGGAATTTAGCTCACTGGCACTGTGCCTGACTGACAAGCTCAAGGTCCTGAGTTCAATTCCCAGTACCAAAAAGAAGCACATTTTAATCATGACGAGAATGAAAGTTGTCTAGTACTTAACGATTTTTAAAAAATACAATGTACCATAAAACCCTACTCTGATCTCTAAATTTAATCTGAATAATAATAGAAGAGAGCAAGAAATGGTTTAACAAATCTCCATAAACTAAATATTTAAGAGGTGTTTTACAAATGTTCCCATTTCTTCTTTTCAGGAAGAGGGTGACATTACACTTTTCCTCCAGTGTTGATGTTTGTGAGAATATGCAATTTATTTGGTAGTGGCATGTGAAGAGAAGTGTTGCATGTTGTTTACAAGAATCAATGAAACATTTTCCATGTTATCTTTTCCTACCACAGTTATAATAGAAATATGTATAGAAACAGAGCATTCTGCACCAAAGATCTCTTGAGTACACACCTCGTCTAAAATAAACATGTAGTGTGAGCAAGAAATAAACTGTTGTGCTAATTCACTAAAGATAGGGGGCCGTTAATTACTTCAATATGACCTAGTCTATACCAATTAATACTTATCCTTAGAATCCCTTCAACTAGTATCTCCACAAATAGTAATGCTTTTCTTTGTAAGTGATTGGTCAAGTGCTACAATTATTTTTCAATTGGCCTAAAAAATGATGATCTTCCCTATTAAAATAAAAATGCTTTTCTATAAGCCACTACTCTCTCTCTTTCTCTCTCTCTCTCTCTCTATATATATAATAATATGTATCACCTCCTTTGAAATCACATTGATTACAAAATATTACATGTATCACACATTTCACTCTGAGAACATGATCCAGAAAGAAACGAGCAGTTAAGAAGTTCTTGTTCTAGTTGAGACAGTGGAAATGAGGCAACTCTGATTTTTTCAAAACGTACTACTTGTTTCCAACAAAATAAACAAAGAAAACAAAAAGGATATGAAACCTAGATTTGTGTGCTTCTCTATGATACACTATGATAGAAGTGATGGCAGGGCTAGAGATTGCCAAGTACTGTTCAAAATGCAGTTTGTAGATTTTAATCAGGCTTTTTTTCCCAGAACTCCATTATCAAAGATGTGGAAATGATGATATAAATTGAGAAATAATAAACGCACTTTGTTATTCTGTCCACTTTGTGTATGGTCTCCATTATAAATGTTAAAATGTCTACCTATTGTGTCTATGGAAGCCTTAAAGTGTCTATCAAATGTTCAAAATTACACAAAATATTAAATGCTTTAAAAAAGATAATATAGTACTTTAACTGATAACCAGAAGGAGTGTGAAGAATAGAGAATAATTACAAGTGGCAAATACTATCGTTATGAATGTTTTGTAGGGGCCGGGGATTTACCTCAGTGGTTCTGCCACCTGCCTCACAAGCACAAGGCCCAAATTTGATCTTGATCCCTGGTCCCAAAAATAAATAAAGAAATAAAATAATGTTATGTAAAATAAAAATGGTCTAAACCATAAAAATCAGGAAATAGAGATATTTAAAATAGTTTTACTTGGAAAGTCAACATATTTTTACAGCATCAATTTCAAGTATAAATAAATGGCCAAGTGAGTAGTACAAAACTTTAACATCCTTAGAAAAAATTATGTGATAATTATGAACTCAAGTATTAAGTGATTGCTTGTTGAGCAAAGTACTCATGAATACTAAAGAAGACCATTAAGTGGGGATAATCAATGGGCAGTGGGAGACCTGGAACCTGCCAGGGGAAGCAGCAGCTTGGGAAATGAAAACAGAGATTAAACAACTGTCCAAGGCTCTTTCTGCCTTTATAAGACAAAGCAAATGTAGAAATAAGAAATTTAGACAAAAGGATATTTTTAAGAAGCCAAGTTCTAGAACCACATTTGGATATAGTGTTTATTTATTGTTAAACTGAGACCATTTACATTTTAGTTCTCTGTAATAAGATTATTTTTTATCAAATATATACTTCTCGGGCCAGGGATTTAGCTCAATTGTACCATGTCTACCTGGCAAGCATGAAGTTCTGAGCTCAATCCCCTGTGCAAAAAAAAAAAAAAAAAAAAAAAAAAAATATATATATATATATATATATATATATATACACACATACTTCTCTACAATATTTTAAAGTAAAAAGGAATCATTGTAACAATTTTAAAGAGTGGTAGAGATGTAGATAACTAGTATTTTTATTTCTGTATTTTTAATCCCTAAAACAATGTAAACCTCAAATGATATTTGCATGTCATATTGTAGGAGGTCATGATTTGATTTTTAAGATCTATAAGATTTAATTTAGATGTTTGTTTGTTTGTTTGTACTGGGGATTGAACTCGGGACCTCGCACTTGCAAGGCAGGCAGCAGCACCACTGAGCTAAATCCCAGGCCAAGATAATTGTTTTTCATTTTATGTATCTGATGTGGTTATTTTCTTTTCTTGTTACAGTAATGATGTAAGTAGCAGTGCATGTGATACTTCCCAAGGCTGTTCCCATATTCGAGATAGCATAACAACCTGTGAGTACCTCAAATCAATGATTTATTTGCTTTCCCATCAGATTTTTAGAAGCAAGACGTAAGAATGTAGTATTTAGCAGGGGTAGTTATGATGTCAGAAGGAATGGCAAGCCTTGGGGACTGCTGGCCAGTTGGGTGGCTAAAGTGTTGTTCCTTTGCCTTTTATTTTGTGGCCATTTGGAGGACTCAGTCCGCATCTCTCCTTCCACTGCTTACTCTCAGTTCCCTCCAGCATACAAGGGATATGCTTGGTTATATAGCCTTTATGTTCTTTTTGGCTTATTCTAAACTATTTAAACCTATTCATGTAACATATCACTAAGATTAGAAATGTAATAAGATCACAGATTTGCTTTGCTTTAGGAAATAACTGTAGGTATAGAAGAGATGGATGGATTGAATGATGGATAGGAAAATGAATGTAAGAATTTTTTGGTTATCCATAAATGTAAAACAACCCTGAATGTAGAGACATAAAACCACAAGAATCAATTGTGGTTATTAGCTCCTATTTTAGGGATGACTACACTCACTCATCGAGGTGAATCCTTAGGTGACTCTTACCTCAATGTCTTTCATGCCATTCTTCTCAGAGCCTGGGGCTTGAGTCATCTCAAAGGCTTTCTCCCTCACATATCTGATGGCTACTGCTGTTTTTTGCCTGGGACTTCAACTGTGGCTGCTGGCCTGGGTACATATAAATGGCTACTCCATATGGCCCAGGCTTCTTCACAAGATGGAAGCTAAGGTTTCAATGCAGTGATCTATGGGAGAGATAATTAGGCAGAAAAGATGTTGTATTTTTTGATCGTGTGTCAGAAATCAACTTGCTTCACTTCTGAGGCATTCTAGCATACTGTTTGTTAGGATAAGGTCACTAAGGCTAACCTACAATATCACCACATTCAAAGCAGTATCAAAGAATTTGTGGACACGTATTAAAACTACTAAAAAGAGATGCATACATTTGAATATATCAAGCATTCCTTCATTTCAAGTTTAAATTGTTTCATTAATTTTTAATATGAATTATTAAAAATCCCACAAAAATTTAACATTATTGAATGACTCTTTAACTATATAAAATATATACAAGTTAATTTTAAATAGTAGTGAAGTTTTCATCATAGTGAAATTCCTTGTTAAAGAAACTTTTTTTTCTCATGTTACTGAGTATTGAACCCAGCGATTTCACATTGAGCTATATCCCCAACCTTGTTTTCTATTCTTTTGTTTGAGACAGGGTCCCAAAAGTCTCTAATTCTCTAAGTTGCCCAGGCTGAGCTTGATCTTGCAATCATCCTGGCTCAGCCTTGCAAAGTGCTGAGACTGCATGCCTTTGCTACCATATCCAGATGTTATTAAGGAATCTTTAATAGAGGGTCATAATTATTCATTTTGTTATACTAAGCTTGAGCTGGAGTCACTTGTTTCATTTTATATATATTTATCAAATTATAATCTTGTGTTCTATTGCTTTGAACATTTGTATAAATCCCAAAGTGTCAATTATTAATCAAAAGCTCTTTTATTTGAATAGCATTAAGATTATTATATAACAGTATTACATACCAACTACTTTGTGTTGTATTTTGTTAGCAATTAAAGGCAGTTGCATTAGAGAGTTCTCCTGCTCCACATATACTCTTTCCCTGAAAGGGAATGAATCTGCAAGCCTAGAGATCTACCATCTTCCCTTTGGGGTCCACACACGCTACTGTGCCATCATTTTAAGCAACCAAGAGGTGAGAACAGAATCATAGTCTGTGCTTCCATCGTGGGCTTTCACCTTAATGAAGTCACCAGTACAGGCTCTAGATAATTTTGAACCTTAAGTTGCTAGGCAGAGAGCTTAACCTCAAGAATATCCAAAGACTTCCATTAGTTGAAGGTAAATATTATGAGGGCATAGGGATGTACCATGGGAACAGAGTAGAGGCTTGCTTAACTTTGTTGTGGCTCTATCTGTATTGGTTAGCTATAGCTGTGCAAGACATCATCACATACTAATGACTTAAAATAACTCATGTTTATTATCTCACAGTTTCTATGGACGAGAGGTCTGAAAGATGTAGACAGTTCATCTGCTTAGGGTCTATCAAGTATTTAATCAAGGATTTAACCAGGGCTGGTTTCTTTTCAGAAGTTCCAACTGAGGAGGGATCTGCTTATAGACTCTCTCAAGTTGTTACCACAAGTTATTTACTTGTGGTTCTGGGATTTTTACAGCTGACTTCTTCAAAATTAACAAGGAAAAGACACAACAGGAAGTAGAGGGAGAAAGATGGACAAGAACAAATTTTATACCACTGCCATCTTCCAGAAAGATATTGCTACATGCTGACCTGAGGGGGATTTATAATTGCTAGGACATATGTCTAATTGTATCAATTGTATGTCCACTATATTTAGTACATATGCAGTACAATAATGGTAATTGCAAAGAGATGTTCTACTCACTTGGTTTCAATAGAATCATTTACACATGAAAAATAATATAGTTTAATTGAATATTTAAAATGTAATTTAATTTTGCACATAAAATTGCCGCTTAGAATGAAAATACCTTTTTATTATAATGTGGAATATAGTTATTTCTTTTTAAAAAGTTCAAGTGCTGAGAGTGTAGTTCAGTGGTAAAGAACTTGCCTAGAATGCACTAGGCCCTGAGTTTCATTCTCAGCACTTAAAAAAAAAAGTTTAGGATTTAACTACACTCTTCTCTATATAAAATTTGAGAAAAAGTATCAATACTGATGTGACCAGTAGCTTGATCAAATTCTTCAAAATATCATTTTATTAAATTTTAATGCAGCCTTAGAAAATACCAGAATTAATTATTGGTGATGCAGTAACAAGATTAATTTTATTCTTTGACATTATCAGAATATTAATATTTATTTACACATATTTAATCTAAATTAATCTAGATATAATTATACTTCATTTGGCACTTCAGTTTATTAAAGAATACCTCTGATTACTTATATTCTATCATTTTTACAAAACTGTCTTGGAATTATATTGACATATATTGAGAAATAATGCTCCAGTTTAAAGGATTGCTTTGAATTATAATTACATATGTGGGGAAATACATCTATTAATTTATACATTTAATTATATTGCTAATTATATTGAAAATTACAATTACATGGTTAACTAATCAAACATCCAAGTCTCCCTAGTTAGTTTGTGTTCTTATTAAATATGTTATAGCCCCTTTGTCGTTATGACCCACATGTTGAAAAATGATAAAGTAATTAGAATTATGTGCTCACTGTCCATGAATAAAATAAAAACATTTTTACAAACAATGCTATCAAGGAAAGGCCTCTTAACTTTGTTGTCATTTGGGCTGTTACATTTGAACTTTTAAATAAGAAGCAAAGTAATTTATATAACAACTGTTTGAAAGTAGAAATAGTTTTACAGAACTTCTATCAGTGTTCATAAAAATTCTTAATTTAGGCAGAAACCTATAAAAGCTTTAAAAAAATCTATGCTACAAAATGCCAGAAATGCAAAGAAATGTCTGCTCTAATATGGATTAGATCAAGACTCATGTCTCAGTTCCTGTGGATTTATGTCTTCTAGGAGGATAGGTTTACAAAGATGCTTTATGAAGCAAACAAACACAGTAAAGCAGACAGCACTATGTTGGTACATTGTTCTGTTTTCACTGTGGTGTCCAGCATATGAATACTACTCGCTCTGTGTAGTCCAGGCTTCCCATTGTAGGACACCACCTGGGATTGCTGAATTTATCTGTACCAAGGAGGTGAGTGCATCAGGCATTATCTTTCATTTGGGAGCTGGATTAAGAAGGACATCATGGTGGAGCCACTTGCTATGGTAATATCAGCTTTCTCCCACTACCATTCCTTGAGCTTTTTCATTGAGCCAACATAGTACCTGCTTTCCCTCTGGTAAATTTACTTTCCAGACCTTTATTGTCCTCTTTTGTCTACAAACTGATTAGAGTTCAGGTGCACGCACACACACACACACACACACACACACACACACACACACACACACACACACAGTTTTCCAAAACATGTATACACATTTCACAAAAAGAAAAACTTGTATATATATTTTAGTACTAAATTTATTGAGACATAATGAGATTAGTACAAGTTACTTTTGATCTCTACAATTACAACAGGTACTCAAAGTGGTGGCCATTAGCTTCCAGACATTTAATAGTATAGCAAATTACTGCTTGGGTAGCACTAGTCTTTGAGATTGCTGCACATGCATTTTCAATTTCTTCTCTAAGGGCCAGCAGTGCAGTGGGTTTTCTGTGATATAAGACATCCCATAGGGTTCCCCATATAAGGGTAACACCATTTATTGAAAAAACTTCATACTATTTTTCTTATCCTGAAGTGTGTATACATTTTTTTATTTTTTATCTTTTGTTTTCAATTTTAATAGTACATATTTGTAATTCATGCAGTTTATAGAAAGTGTGTAAACATTTTTGGTGGAATAGTTCCTTGACATAGGATCTCAATATGTAGTCCAGGCTGCCCTTGAACTCTCTTGCCTCAGCCTCCTGAGTGGTGGAATTACAGCCGTGTGCCACCATGCCCACCTAAATAATTATATTTTGAACATGTATCTGTAATTTAATAAACTTTTCTGTCATTTACAGAGATATTCCCTACTTAAAGATATATTGAGAATAGTCTCTTAGTCATGCAGATAATACTGTTTTAAGATTGTGGAACACTTCAAAATAGTTACAATGCCAGCTTCCAGACCAGGTTTCCTCCATTTTAATTTTCAGGTTGTTACATGTTTGTCGCAAGCCCACTATGATTTAAGATATTCCCCATTGTATCTAAATTTTACAGCCTTCATTTTCATTTATCCTCTCAAGTCCTGGCTCCACCTTAAGTCTCTGGAGTAATGTCTGCCTTTTTAACATATCTTTAGGTGATTTATATGCTTGTCAAGGGATGGGAAGCCCCGCTGTCAAAGCAATGCATGCACTCTGTTTAAATAGATCCCTTAAGTGCCTGGTAAATGACAAAGAGCTCTGTGTTGCCTCCTGTAATCCTCTCTGAATCCTTTCACTTCTTGAGATATAAAGATTTTAAAAACCTTTTTATTATGGAAAATGTAAAATACATAAAAGGGAAGGAAAAATAATTTTCTTTCTACCCTTCATAGTTCTTAACTAGGACAGATTCTTACAAAGGACAGATTAACAAGAAAAAAACAAAAATGTACTAACATGTATATTTCATAAATACACAGGAGATACCCAGGAAATGATTAAATCTCATATAACATTTTCAAATAATAGTTTTCAGAGAAGTGAAAAGACAAAGGAAAAAGAATTTGTGTGTGTGAGGGAGGCAGATTCTGTGAAGTCAAATGAATGGGAATTTGTTATGTGGATTGATTTAATGTCATTTCCAGGCAGATAAGGGTCTAAAATTGTCTTCCTCATTTACCTTTGCCTTGCTGATAGAGAAGGAAGGAGAATACTTTTGTAAATTTATATCCTATTTTTAGGCAAATGGTAGAGGGCAGAGTACTTGTATTTGCTTTTCAGTTGCCTTCAGTTCAAAATCATTATTATGCAAATGAATCACAATTTAGGGTGTCCTGTCCTGGGTTCCTACACTTACAACTGTAGAGATAGAGCTATAATAAATCTCCCCTCTACCCTTCACCTAGTTTCAACAATATGTGGCCAAACAAATTTAATGAGTATAATGAAACAAATCTCAATCACCATATAATTTTATTTCTAAGCAATTCAGTGTCTCTACAACAAAGGTTCCCCTTCGTTTACATGGCCTTTGATCACACTACTATTACTAAAAATATTGTAAAATTTTTCTTAATACCATCAAGCATCAAAGCATGCCCTATCTCATAATTGTTTATGATTCTTCTCTCCCTTTCAAGTTTCTTTGTTTGAATCATAAACTAAGATTCATCCATGTAGTCTGTATGTCTTTCAAAATCCTTTTCTTTTAAACTCTAGATGCCTAAATTAAAGGTATTATTCATCCCATTTTACCAAGGGGGAAACTGGAACTCCAGAGATTTTGTAAGCTTGTCTGAGTTTTTTTGGGTTTTGGTTTGTTGTTTCTCTGTTTTGGTTTTTTTTCAGACAGGATCTTGCTATGTAGCCCAAGCTGGCCTAGACTTTATGGTGATCCTCCTGCCTCAGCCCCCTGAGTGCTGGGATTACAGGTGTGCACCATCATGCCTGGCTTATTTGAGGTTGTTTTTTTTCGAGGGGGCCGGTACCAGGGATGGGACTCAGGATCTTGTGCTTGTGAGGCAGGCTGGACACTACTGAGCTAAAGCCCCGGCCCAACTTGAGTTTTAATAGCTAATAAGTGGCAGTGCCAATTAAACTCAGGGATGCCTATTTCTATTGATTTTTCTCTATATTATATTGATACCCTTACATTTTTCTGACTTTTATTTTTACCTTTTCTATTTAGTCCTTCATAATTCTTCCCTAATTATTGGTTTTAAAATATTTTAAGGACCTTAGATGGTCACTTTGAAATGCCATATTTTAAAATACAGACTCTTTGGAACTCACACCCTGAAAAAATTTCAATTACCCCCTGCAAAAATAAGTTACAGAATGAACGAAACCTACTTCTTTATTGCTTGCTTGATCATTTAAAGTTAGTGGCTTCCCAAGGATAGTTGTAGCTACAATGATAATGTGGGACCTTCTTAATCTATCCCCCTGTCTTATTGATGCAATTTCCCCCAGACTGTGGTAAGAATGTATTTAAACCTTGCTAATGTCCAACCATTAAGAAGCTATGTTGCTTAGAAAAAGATGCATGAAAATTCTATTATACAGATTTTCTTTGTTGCATAAAGATTTATAGTACTTTTATGAGCTCTCAAAATTTTGTTTTTAGATTGGAGAATTAATATACATTGTGCAAGGAAATGGTTTGGTCCCCTTGCCTTCCAGTTTCCTTTCAACAGAGCCTTCAAATCCAGTTGACTTCTACAGTTCACTAGAAGAAGGTATAGTATATACAGGTTTCACAGTATTTCATTTTTCATAGTAGTTAAAAGATGGGACTATTCCTTTTATAGTCACTCCTGTAAACATCTTCATTTCTCTAATATGTAATTAGATTTTGGCAGACTGCAACTTTTGTGTCAGCATGCATGAAATAGACTATCATTTTATCAGTTGAAAACATCAGTGGTCATTCTTTTTTAGTCTTCCGATAAGTACTCAAATATGGCAGAAGAAATATTGTTTAGCAGATGGACACTGTGTATTAGCCTGTAATCCCAGCACTTTGGGACACCCAGGCTGGGAGATCACAATTCCATGCCCAGCCTTGGCAACAGAGGGAGACCCAGTCCAGTCAGAAAAAGAGGGGGCAGGGTTGGTGATATGAGGATTTAGCTCAGTGGTAGAGTGCTTTCTTGCTTAGCAATAAAAGAGGCCCTAGGTTTGATTCCAATACAAAAAAAGCTCACAAAAAACAAAAATGGGGAAATACTAATTCTTTTCACTCTGTTTAATGAAGACTGTAACTGCAGTTTTCTACTTCAAATCTCCCAACTTCATCCTGGATTGAGGGCATAAATGTTCAGTGCATTAACAAATGCTTTTGTTTTCCCTAGAGAATAATAAGGAACATCCAGTTTTGTATTTGAAATGCGAACTCCATCAAACCCTAGATGTGAGCCTTAAGGTTCCACTGACTAATAAAGCCAAGGAAAATGCTTTGGCTTTTGCAGCACAACAGGAAATGTCTACAATTGAGTATGAGCGAAGGCGGATCACAGGCACTCTGGAGAGCAGTAGCATCCGTGTGGCTGTTGCCCTCCTGGGGCTAACCAAGATTGAGGTAGGAATGGAAAACAGATGATACATTTCCATTACTAACTCTTACACATATACAGAGCTGTTCCTACTTAATCATAGCAATATTTTTACAAAGAAAATGATGACTACTCTTTTCCCCCAGGAAGACAGCTGAGTAGTGATTTGTTTTAAACATCACTTAAAAATAAATCTGAAACAATACACCCTACTATATAATTTTACACATTACAATGTGGTTCTTAATTTACAGTAATCAATTCTGACTGCACATTGGTATGCTCTGGAAAACATATACTAGTACCCAGGCACCACTCCAAATAATTAATACAAATCTCTGCAAGGGGATGATTAGGAACATGATCTGCAAGTTGCCTAAGATATTCTGCTGTGCATCTAGGAAGAATTATCTCTGGTGACATATTACCTGGCTGAGAATTCACTCTTCACAGTGTCCAGCAGTATGACTACGTGCTTGTTACCTAAACCTCCTCACCTCTCTGTCTTTATATTTTCAATATAGAAATATCGATAGTTAATGAAAACTGAGATAATTATGTAAAATGCTTAGCACATTATCTGGTACAAAATAAAGGTTCTCTTTTTTCATTTTTTATTTTATGAAAACATAAATCAAAATTTCATGATAAAATAACAAAAATTAATACATTGTGTATAATTATCTTTAAAGTTATTAGAGTACAAGACATTGATAAAGATTCTTACAAAGAAGAGCAAAAAGATAATAGCACAAAACTGTGATTGTTGTGGTCATTATTATCACTTTTGCTATACTATATACTACTATAGTGGCTATACTTCTGTTATTATAGCTTGAAATTAAATATGTTCTGTATTTATGGTTGAAAAAAATCTACTATCAATGAGAAGCCAAAGTGATTTTTCTAAATGCAAACCTAAGTTGGGAGTGGTGGAACACACTTGTGATCCCAGCACTAGGGAGGCTGGGGCAGGAGAATCTCTAATTCAACCAGTATGGGCTACATAGCAAGTTCAAGGCCAGCCTTGATCTTGTCTCAAAAAACCAAAAAAAAATGAATTCAAACCTTCTCATGTTATTCCTCTTTGCACATTTCCCTACTGGGATTCCAGTTCATACCTGATGAAAGTCTTAGAATGATTCCATGATACTCTTGGTCATTCCTGCCTTCTCCCCTGATCTCAATTCCACCATAGGAATATATCCACTGGTGACAATACCTCAGCACAGGCACTTGGTGTTCTTAAAATAAGCCAGACATTCTCCCCATGGCCTTTCAGCTTTCTCTATTTGTTTCCCCTAGACTTTAGAGGGCTGCATCCCTCAGGTACTTTGTGTCCATTAAAATGCTCTGAGTGAGTTTCTGCTTTACCACCTCATAGTACATTTTTATGCATTTGTATACTCCTTTAAGGTTTAACTTCATTTATATATATTACAACACAACTCTTGGCATTGGCATTGTGTGAATGACTTAGTGTTGTAATGCTACACTCAAAGCATTCTGACTGTATATTTCTAACAATTAATCATAATTTTTTTTTTTTTTTTGCAGTACCGGGGATCAAACTCAGGACCCTGTGCTTGCAAGGGAGGTGCGGTGCCACTGAGCTAAATCCCTGGCCCTTAATGATAATATTTTAAAGATGACCTGGAGTTTAAAATTCTGATTGGATCAAAAGTAATAAAGCCTAGGGCCGGGGATTTAGCTCAGTGGCACCACGCCTCCCTTGAAAGAGCAAGGTCCTGAGTTCGATCCCCAGTACTGGAAAAAAACAAACAAAGAACAAAGAGTATTAAAGCCTAAAAGTTTGAAATTCTCTGATTTAAACTATTTCTACTGTGTTTTCAAGAAGCTGATAAATCTCTTCAGCTTTAACTTAAATACTTACTTCTACATGGTAGTGCATTTGGGAAGGCTTATGTTTAGCAGTCAGTACACTAGTGCAGTAAAAATTTTCAGTGAGTTGCCTTTTCAAACATTTAGCCTATCATAGTGCTCTCTCTCCCTCCTTCTACTTTAACTTTCAAAATTTATTTTTAATTATTATCTCTTCTGA